TATACAAAATATATTAATAAAATTTTTATATAAGTATATTCATCGATCATGAATTTATCTTATAATTATTGTAAAAAATAGCATACATATTGATAAAATAATTATTATAAGTGACTTAAGTCTTGTTATTACATTTATTATAAAAAGATTATATTTTTCTGTATACTGACTTTATGATTGCTTTGCATTACTAAGAAAAATTTTCAGTAGTTACAATTAAATAGATTTATTTGGGAATTAACTGAAGTGAATATTTTTAATTTTGCATCTGCATTTCGAAGAAAGAGGTAGTAACGAAAGATTGATTTCGTCGTTACAAATGTAACGACGAAATCAATCTTTCGTTACTTAAATAAATATTTAAATAACTTTAATATAACTTTAATATAACTTAAATAAATATTTAAAGCGCATGTCATTGATGCAAAAATTAAAACGACTTTGTAAATACAAACAGACGCCGGCATACACATTTTCATGTAAAGCATAAAGACGCAGGCGACTAGCTCACAATAAGAAACATGATCCACTGAGAAGGCATGCATAAGCAATAAGGATGACAAAAGGAAGAAGCGTGTTATTCGAGCAATTTGCAATTGCACAACAACGATCGTGCTATTACAATTAATTAAATTCTATTATTGAACGAATTATTCGCTTGGATTATGTAGGTTCATTCGCGTTTGTAAATAGGAAGAGGATACGGTCTGTCTAGCGGTTTGTTCTGCTTGGTAGAACATAGTGTTCTAGAAATAATCCTTTCCCAATCTCCTCTGATTATACGAAGCGATGGAACAGACCGATTTCCTCGACGGCTCGAACGACTCATCGGAAATTCAGGGTTTGAGAAATGGAACAGAGACATAAACTGAGTCCGTCTATTCGCGGAATAAAAGAAATGAAAATTGAAATATTTATTCTAAATTACGATAATAATAATAATTTGCGAAAAATTCGCGGTCACTGTAACTCGTGAAATGTCCTCATAGATAGCTTCGAAATCGAATAATGCGGCTATATCTTCTCATTATAAATGCAACGAATATCTTCCTTCAACAAATGTATAGTAAAGCATGGATTAGCTCGTGGAATTACAGACGTGCTTAATGCTACGATTGGTGCAGTGGTTTCGTGATATATTAACGGGACATACAGTCTGTAGCTCTTCGCGTACAGAGATTTGGTAGCCAAAGTATTCGATATATTCGACTTACGGCGAGAAGAGGGAAGTACAATTGTTTCCCTCAATATCGATCTATAGAATAATTGCGAGGCACGTCGTGCTCATTGATGTTTTCACGCTTGTAACGCTGGGATTCGGATCTCGCGTGAAGGGTATAATGTTATCAATGCTTGATTATTTCGATTTGATATTGGTCAAGGAACCGTGTGCGTTTGTATCGTAGAGACGAACAATGCCTCTATCCCCCGATTTCATTGACTCACTCTCGTAGGATCGGTTCGGATACTGGAGAGAACAGTGCTCATATCGGTTCGATACACACTGGCTCGCGGTCTTGCATGGTCTTAACTCTCTTTTATCGTCGGAAGTCGAACTGGAACGCGAGGATGCAGGCCTCCCCGCTCCTCTCGCATCAAGTCGTCGCTGCACCATCGATGCTGCCGCATCGTCGCGAGCCCCCGCGCGAGGGGGTTTATTCCGCGATTCCGTCGGCCTGTCCCCGCCCAGGTTCTTGGCGTTCGTCGCATTCCGCGTTCTGAATACAAATCGCGGCGTTCTCTTTCGCGAGCTTTTCCGTCAGACCTGTGTGATCATTACCATTAATGAAGAAGCCGATAGAGACGCTTCATCGTTGATACCCCCCCTCCCTCCCCGTCATCCGCACCCTCGACCATATCCTTCTAGACGCATAACTCACGATGACCGAGACGGAAGTTCCGAGACCGAGACAGTAATGCGGGATTATTCCCGCCGGATACACAAGTTCGTCCATATTCAACGATTTACAATTTTTATATTCGTGCGTCCTCGGGGAATGTCGTGTCGTTGAACCCGGCGGGAAAGGTCGACGGTGAGAAGAATGCCGGAGTTTCGGCGAATGATATTTTATTTAAGTAACCTCTGTCCTCTCCGCCGTGGCATTTGACTATGCGGAATCGAGTGTAAATTAGTTATCGAACAACGAATTCTTATGCGACGAGAACGAAGGACCGTCTGATTGGTGAGAGGTTCAAATGAGGTGACAGATGATTTTCGATTTCGAACGGAGCGGAGGACAAGCTGAATTATGAATCGTTCGTTTCTCAAGATTTTTTAGTTATGAATGGGGCATGTAAATACGCGCGAATGCATAATAAAACAGCTCCGCTGTGCGGAGGTTCGCCGCAAGTACGACGGTCGTGTTATTTATTTTATAGAAACGTTTGCGTCGCGTAATCAAACCGCGAGATTAAAATGTCGTGCTTCAAGTCAAGTCGAAGCACCGCCTTTAATTACGTTCGAATTAAAATTAAAATACGTTCAACGAGAGCAAAATTGCGAAATATCCTTCATATGCAAAATTATTTTTACCGTCTCACTGATCTTTTTTAGACACAACATAGTATCAGCCAAGTTTATCCTCATAAAAGCTTTTTTTACTGCATATAATTTTGTATTTGCAAAGCTGACGTATCATTTCGTGGATACTTATTAATTATTAATAGCTTTGGTTTTATTTTAAGTTTTACAGTTTTATCTAGATGATATTAATAATTCTGGTCAAAAATTGTTCCAAAACAAATATCGAG